CAACAGATGGCCAGCGAAAGAATGGATTTCGGCATGAGCTCCCAAAGTGCAGTACTGCAACAGACGGGTAGGTAACTCACCGCCGGCATCCTCAGAGAGGGTTTCGCTTTTTTAGATACCGCGGCTGCTTTCCCCATGGTTTCCATAAAATGATTGTTTGCCAATTTAGGTCAGCTTTGCTCACTCAGGCTCGGTACTGCTACATCCAGAAGATACCCAGACAAGTAGTTAATTACAGTTTGGATGTTTTGCTTCTATAGAGTTTGTTGAGCCACTTGAAACACAGAGACATAGAGCTGGAAGGGACCCCAAGGGTCCCCCAGTCCACCCCCCTGCACAATACAGGACATTCAGTTACCCCCCCCCCCAATCCCCCCCCCCCGGTGACTCCTCCTTTATGTCCAGAGGGAGGCGGAAAACCTCCAGGATCCCCAACCAAACGGGCCTGGAGGAAAATTGCTCCCTGACACCAAAGTGGCGATCGATCGGCATTTCCCTGGGCATGTAAGAAAGGGCCACAAGAACTAAGTATTGATCCAACCCTTCCCACCCTCCCTCTCATGATCTGCCTACGTTCACCGAATCCGCATTGCTTTCAGATGGCCATCTAGCCTCTGCTTGAAAACCTCCCAAGAAGGAGAGCCCACCACCTCCCAAGGAAGCCTGTTCCACTGAGGAACCGCCCTAACTGTCAGGAAGCTCTTCCTAAGGTTCAGCCGGAAACTCTTTTGATTTAATTTCAACCCGATGGTTCTGGTCCAACCTTCTGGGGCAATAGAAAAGAACTCTGCACCATCCTCTATATGACAGCTGTTCAAGTACTTGAAGATGGTGATCATCTCACCTCTCAGTCGTCTCCTCTCCAGGCTTAAACATACCCAGCTCCTTCGACCTTTCCTCGTAGGACTCGGTCTCCAGACCCCTCACCACCTTCCTTGCCCTCCTCTGGACACGCTCCAGCTTGTCTGTATCCTTCTTAAACTGCGGTACCCAAAACTAAACACAGTACTCCAAGTGAGACCTAACAGAGCAGAGTACAGTAATAATCACTTCACGTGATCCAAACACTATACTTGTGTTGATGCAGCCCAAAATCACATTTGCCTTTTTCAGCTACTGCATCACACTGATGACTCATGTTCAGCGTATGGCCTACTAAGACCCCTAGATCCTTTTTGGGTGTGCTACTTCCAAGACAAGTCTCCCCCATCCTATCATTAAGCATTTCATTTTTTCAATACCTAAATGCAGAACTTTAGTTTTATCTCAGTTGAAATTCATTGTGTTAATTTTAGGGCAGTTTTCCAGTTTGGGGGAAAGTTTTTCAAATAACGTACATCTACATGGTGCAGTGGTTAAAGAGTCAGACTAGGAGCTGGGAGACCCGGATTCGAATCCCCACGCAGCCGTGGAAGGCTGGGTGACCCTGGGCCAGTCAGACGCACCTACCTCACTGGGTTGTTGTAAGGATAAAACGGCGAAGGGGAGAATACCGCAAGCCGCTTTAGGTCCCCGCAGGGGAGGAACGTGGGGTAGAAATGAAATGGAATAAATAAACACTTCTTTGGAGCTTGGACAAATCAGTTTGTAAAAGTGGCTTTTAACTTTTTAAAAATTATTTGTAATTTTTTATTCAATAAAATATGTAACAGGACAAAAGAACAGTATGATAACTTTGTACACTTTAGCTGAATAATAAAAACATACGATTCCAACAGAAAACGATAACAATGCGGGTATAACAAGAGCAAGTACATAGTCCAATATATAAAACTGTGCTCAAAACATGCTATAGTGTTAAGCAAGCAGAGCATATTAAAACTGGCATTCCACAGGGTGTTGAATGAGAATGTCAATCTAGTAAAAGGGTTAAACGTCATATAGGAACAAATATCTTCAAGTGAAACCGTAAGTAAATATACTAGTTTTGGAGATGAGTGATAGAATAGAAGCTCCGGAGACAACTAAGAGAAGACTCGTCACCCATGATCGCATAATGGGACTAATATCAGAGGTAAGAACCAGACATTCATACCCACTGCTGCAACTGCGACCACCCAGAGGATAGGAGTCCCTCTCGTGCAAAGAAATCAAGTATTGGGGACCATTTTTTGTCAAAGTGGCTTTTAACTTTGAAAGTCTCTCTGTGCTTTGCCTTCGATCTCGATGAGCTCTGCAAAGAGATTGTCCCTCAATAAAGGTGCACGAAACTAAACCTTACCTCTCTGCGAATGCCTGTTTCCCAGTGCCGGCGTTTGGTACGATTATTCATGTAGCGTATTTTCAGCCTCCCTTTTCCTGAAACTGGACTCCAGACAGTGATATGCAACCTAAAAATCCATGAAAATTAACAAACATACGTCATCTGAAATTAGGTGGCACCTCCTGAATAATTCCCCCGTGCACGGCTTGTGGATTGTCAACCAAAAGCCGCCCTAACCACTTGGAAGGCTGTTCCATAAAATATGAGGAGCCATGAAAAGCCCTCGGTCCCCGCCATTTTGGAGGGTAGGGCGGGGTATAAGTTAAACAAATAAATAAATAGATCTAGCAACAATGGTCCTAACTACCCTACAGGAGAGAATCACGAATAAGCCTGCGTCTGAGGAGCTGTAGGGCAGGTGGATGCTGGGAGAGGCGGTTCTGCGGGTCCCAGCTTGGCCACGAAGGGCTTTAGAAGATAACCACCAGTACATTGAACTGGACTCGGAAACAGACTGACTACTAGTGTAAAAATCTCAGGTGGAAAATGTGCTAGGAAGGTCACCCCTGCTGGTGAACGGGCTGCTGCATTCTGTACTGCTCGAAGTTTCTGAAATATCTTCAAGGACAGCTCCGCGTAGAATGCACTACAATAATGCAGCCTCGTTTTAATTTTGCACGGATCAATAAGGCCAGGTCCACTGAGTCTAACTGGGGATAAGAACATCAGAGAAGCCAATGCTGGATCAGGCCGATGGCCCATCTAGTCCAACACTCTGTGTCACACAGTGGCCAGAAATACCAGGTGCCATCAGGGGGTCCAGCAGTGGGGCCAGGACACTAGAAGCCCTCCCATTGTTCCCCCCCCAAGCACCAAGGATACAGAGCATCCCTTGCCCCAGATCGTGAGTCCCTATCTATACCTTATGTGTTGCTAATAGCCACTGATGGACCTCTGCTCCACATGCTTATCTCTTGAAGCCGTCCATGCTTGTAGCCGCCGCCACCTCCTGTGGCAGTGAATTCCATGTGTTCATCACTCTCTGGGTGAAGAAGGACTTCCTTGTATCTGTTCTAACCCGACTGATCAGCAATTTCATTGAGTGCCCACAAGTTCTTGTATTGTGAGAAAGGGATAAAAGCCCTGCTCTATCCCATGCATAATCTCATAAACCTCAGTCATGTCACCCCTCAGCCATCGTTTCTCCAAGCTAAAGAGCCCCGAGCGCTGTAACCTTTCTTCATAGGGAAAGTGTTCCAACCCTTTTACCATTGCACTTTTCCCAATGCTATAATATCCTTTCTGAGGTGTGGTGACCAGAACTGTACACAGGACTCCAGACGAGGTTGCAAGTGCAAAAGAAACAGGTGTTTGACCTCCTCCCACATTTATTCTGTCCTCTCCCTTGGCCTGGTACCTAACAAGGAACGGCAGCAGGGCAACCTACCTACGGAGAGAGTGCCACTGCTTGGGCTCCACCACAGAAAGTCCCTCTCTGTCGTCGCTGTCTGCCTCACCTCTGAAGGGCGGCCGGCAGGGGTCATTTCCTGTGGGAGCGCACGGGAGCGGAGCTCCGGCAGTAAAGAGCCCAGGGGGCGGGCAAAGGCAACAAGCCCCACCCCCTGCTCCCAGGAGCCCTCAGTCAGAGCAAGAAGCAGCCAGGTATGCTGCAGAGGCTCCCCCAGCCCAAACCAGTCCAGTGGCACCTTTAAGACCAAGCTTTATTCAGGTACAAGCTCTCCCTCCTCTGCGAGGTCAGATCTGCATGTCCCCCCCCCCCAATAGCTAGCAATCCGAAACAGTCCCGTGGAGCCTGGGTGGGGGGTGTGCGCTTCTGCCCCAACTTCGTCAGGGGGTGTGGCCTATGCAAACGAGTTATGCAAATGAGTTATGTTAATGAGCTCCTGCACCTCTTTTTCTACGAAATGACCCCTGGCGGCAGGGGAAGGAGGTTCCTGGAGAAGAGCCTCACACAATGGATACCTTATGTGGCAAGACACCCACTAACTGTATCGTCTTCTCCTTTTCTTCCAAACAGGTTCCATGCCAGGGAATATGCTCACCACAGGGCCCCCCAGTGCAATGATTCACATCCAGGCCAGTCTGCCCCAAGGGATTCTGGGACTGAATACAATTTCATCACATGGGACTAACGTAAGAACACTCTCCCCTTCCAAAGCACTGTCTTTGCCGCAGTGGCTAGAGGAGTGGTACAGCTGATGCTTCTCTTTCCCCCTCTTTTGGCACCAGATGAGTCGGTACGCAGCCGGTGGTGGGCAGCCGTCTCCCCGCCTGCAGCCCCAGCACCCCCCTCTCTTCTCTCCTCCGTCCTGCACCGCTCAGCAGGTGTTTGCCATCACGCACAATCCGCAACAGGTACCGTTTCTGCTTCAGAGATTTCTCAGAGCAATGGTGGAGCTTTAAGGAGCCCTAAGACCGCATGACTATTCTTCTGCATCAAAGTCGGGAGCCTCATTTAACCCTGGGCCTGAAACTAGCCGGGAGGCAGATACCGCCTTTTAAGAGCTGTTTTTGAGAGCCAGTTTGATGTAGTGGTTAAGTGTGCGGACTCTAATCTGGAAGGACCGGGTTTGATTCCCCACTCCTCCACTTGCACCTGCTGATGTGACCTTGGGTCAGTCACAAGCTCTGGCACAGCTGTCCTTGAAAAACAGCAGTTTGTGTCAGAGTTCTCTCAGCCCCACCCACCTCACAGGGTGTCTGTTGTGGGGAGGGGAAGGGAAAGGAGTTTGTAAGCCGCTCTGAGACTCCAAGTGAAGGGCGGGATATAAATCCAATCTCTTCTTCTTCTTCTAATGAACACACCAGCAAACTGAATGCTGTATTGGCACGCCAGCCCTTCATCTGGGCTATCCCTTATGTCTTTGGCAGGCGGTCAAATTTTGTTAAATTCAGAATCTATAATATGCACATTTCCCCTTCGCCTTCCCTGGAGTCTAACTTTGTTCTGCCGCTTCAGACCAACACGGGCACTCCCCCTGAATCTGTTCTCTGTTTGATGTTCAGTGTTCCCCAGCCACACTCTTCAGCACGTCCTACGGAACGCAGCCTCCATATTCGCAGCCTCGTCTCGCTCCCCACGCTGCCCAAGAACTGCATGCCAAGCACTACCCGAAGCCCATCTACTCCTACAGGTGAGTGGGGTCTGTCCGCACACCCCGGCTGCCTTGGGCTTTGTTGGGCTTAAAGGTGCATGCACACAAAAGCTTATACCCAGGATTAGACTTTGTTGGGCTTAATGCAGGGCCGGCCCCAGCTTATTTTGCACCCTAGGCGAGGATCCCTTCTGCCGCCTCCCCCCCCCCCGCGCCCCCACCAAAGACTCGTTAATCGGATCTGTACCCCGGACCTCCCGTTCCCCTGGCACCAATGCTCTTAACACTCACTTTTGCTTTTGTAACTTTGCCTGCTTTGCATATCTGGCTTCCACCAAGGAAGACTCTGCAAAGAAAGGCACTTGCAGTCGCAAACAAACTCTGCTTCTCACTTGCCTTGACAGTTCCTTGCTGGGGTTGCCATACGTCAGTTGCACCTTGAGTGTCCTTATGTAATAGCCCCCCTACTTAGGTTCTTAGCCTTAGTGACCCTTCTGTGCCCAGAGGGCTAAGTTTTTTGGTGGAATTGGCATTTGTATCATCAGAAAGATCATAACATGTTTAAAACTCAGTAGTGTTTGCAGCTGAACCAGGACAGCGGGGGGGCGGGTGCCAGTTTGGCGCCCCCAAGGGCCAGTGCGCTCTAGGCAAGCGCCTAGTTCGCCTAGTGAGTGAGCCGGCCCTGGGTGCATGCACACGAAAGCTGATACCCAGAATTAGACTTTGTTGGGCTTAAAGGTGCCCCTGGACACAGACTTTGTTCTGTTGCTTCAGACCAGCACGGCGACCCTCCTGACTACAAATTAGTTAAGAACCACAGAGAGTTTTGCACACCAGAGAAAAGGGGGGGGGACTCATTAAAAGCGCAAATACTGTTCATTGTTGCAAATGCCAGAGAGGATTCTACAAGGGAGTGGGGGGGGGAACACCTGCCTCTGTTTACCTGTCTAGGTCGGAGCGGATCCAAGATTATGCTCCGGGAAGGGGGGGCATCTGGCAACTGCCACTGGGAGCAAAAAGAGATCCCTTCTGTTTCTCACAGCTGCCTGATCGCCATGGCTCTGAAGAACAGCAAGACCGGCAGCCTCCCCGTCAGCGAGATCTACAGCTTCATGAAGGAGCATTTCCCCTACTTCAAGGTAAGAAGCGTTGGGCAGGAGAGCTGCTGCCCGTGTCTGCTGGGGCCATTCGGTCGCCCTTTCTGCTGGAGCCTTATCCTGTTCCTGGACCTCTGCAACTCCCGTCACTATAAAGGTAAAGGTTTCCCTTGCTCGAAAGCCAGTCGAATCCAACTCTAGGGGGTGGTGCTCATCTCCGTTTCCAAGCTGAATGAGCCAGCGCTGTCCGAAGACGTTTCTGTGGTCATGTGGCCAGCATGACTGAACGCCAAGGCACACAGAACGCTGTTACCTTCCCACCGAAGTGAATCCTTCCCACTGAAGTATTTATCTACTTGCAATTTCTTGCTTTCGAACTGCTAGGTTGGCAGGAGCTGGGGCCAGAGACGGGAGCTCACTCCGTCACGTGGCACTCGGGTCTCGAACTGCCGAACTACAGACCTTCCGGCCTGCAGCTCAGCGTCTTGACCTCTGAGCTACCGTGGCCCCACATCACTATAAACCCCAGTCACTATAAATAGCCCCAATTTTAAAAAATCATCTTCTGCAAATTATTTACCATGATGATGAATACTTGCGGCTGTGCCGTGATCTTAACTCCCTGGACACGATTGTGCATATAATTGTCGAATGCCCCCTGGATGAGCTACCTTGCGGAAAATTCCTTCTAACTTGGCTTCCTCCTAAATGTTATTTGAGTAACAAGTCAAAATGTCAACTTCTCTTGAATGATTCGATCCCTGAGATCACTAATGATGATGCCAAGTTTCTTACCAAAGTTCTTAAGGTACAAAATTTTAGATAGTACTATTTTGATTGTACTAAATGTGTATGGAATCTTAGATTTTAATTTTACAATACAATGTTTTATATACCTTATGACTAATGATATGCCAACAAAGGTCTATGAATTAATTAATTAATTAATTAATCAATTAATTAATGAACAGAGCCTTAAGACCCAAAGGTCCAATTCAGTAGGAGGCAGTTTCACCTGTGTCCCTCCTGCCTTCCAGACGGCACCCGATGGCTGGAAGAACTCCGTCCGCCACAACCTGTCCCTGAACAAGTGCTTCGAGAAGGTGGAAAACAAGCTGAGTGGGGCCTCCCGCAAGGGCTGCCTGTGGGCGCTCAACCCAGCCAAGATAGACAAGATGGAGGAAGAGATGCAGAAGTGGAAGAGGAAGGACCTGGCTGCTATTCACCGGAGCATGGCAAACCCAGGTAGGCCTGCGGGCACCCGCCCAGGGTCCCGTCCAGGGTTCCCTCTAAGCTGAGCTAGTGTGAGCTAGCTCACAGTTTTTTAGCCTCCGGCTCACACCTTTTTGTCTTAGCTCAGGAAGGATGGCTCCAGAGCAAACTAATTTATGCAATAGCCAAATCACTTGCTCACAACTTTAATGCCAGCAGCTCACAAAAGTGGAATTTTTGCTCATAAGACTCCACAGCTTAGAGGGAACATTAAAAGGTACCCGCAGATGAAGGTTCTCAGGCAAGGAGAGACTGCATTGCTATGGGATCCTACTCAACGTAAGCAGGATCCAGATGCGCTCGTGGGAACATGTTTCTATTCCATGTCTCTTCTGTAGAGCCTGTGTCTCTTATCCATTCTCCAAGGTCTTCCCGTTTGTTTTCGTTTTGTAATGCCTCTCAGAAACAAAGCAGGGTCAGCCCTGGTGTCACGGCTCAGGTGGGGTGTCACCTGACGCTGCCACCACTCTGGATTTAGGATCCCTTGAGAAGGCCCAGAGCACCCTCCCAAGACCTTCAGACCTCCCTTTTGGCCGAATAATAGGCATGAGGACCAGGCAGAGTGAAACAAGGAAAAGGTTTATTTTCGAGGAGGTCAAACAAACAAGGTGCAGGAATAATAACAATAAGTGGTTGAAAAGAAAAGAAATCAAATGCCCTAACGTGTCTAAATATACTGTCCCTAGTTCACTATCTCAAGTGGCCTTAGACTACTCACCCTTCCCTCAGGATGAGGGTTTCTTCCCCACAGCAGCCTCTCATTCTGGCCCTGTCCCCTGGGAAGAAGAACAGCTTCTCCTCTTGTACCAGTTCTTTTATTCCTCAGCCCTCTTCTTTCCTATTGGTCAAAATCGGCGCCAAAACTTCCCAAGGGCTTCTGGGGTTTGTAGGCCCAGCCTCCCCTACTGCTAGCCAGGCTCCCTGGGCCTAGTAGGCCTCTGGTGGCACAGCCCAGATCATGACACCTGGTTAGCACCGGGATGAGAAGCCAGCAAGAAAGTCCAGGGTTGCTATGCAGAGGCAGGCAATGGCGAACCACCTTTGATGGTCTCTTGCCTTGACCTGAATGGCCCAGTCTCATAAGATCTCAGAAGCTAAGCAGGGTTGGTCTGGGCTATTATTTGGATGGGAGACCACCAAGGAAGTCCAGGGTCGTAATGCAGAGGCAGGCAACGGCTAACCCACCTCAGCAGTGCCAGTGTTCCCTCTAAGCTGAGTTAGTGTGAGCTAACTCACAGGTTTTTAGCCTCCGGCTCACACATTTTTGTCTTCGCTCAGGGAGGATGGGGCTCCAGAGCAAACTAATTCATGCAGTAGCCAAATCTCCCGCTCACAACTTTAATGCCAGTCGCTCACAAAGTAGGATTTTCGCTCACAGGACTCCACAGCTTAGAGGGAGCATTGCTCAGCACCTCTCTTGCCTTGAGACTGGGTTGCTGTAAGTCAGTCAGCGGTTGTGACTGGCGCTTTCCACCAATACGGATGTCGTATTTACATCAAGGTACTCAGTGTCAGTCAGCTTCTGGGCCTAGATCAACACGCTGGCTGTCCTCTTGAAAGCCTTAAGGAGTCTAGGACTGGGATTCTGAAAGGTGCTTGTTTGTCGCTTGAGATCATCTACTCCCAGAGGTGCTTGTTTGTCGCTTGAGATCATCTTTCGGGGCCCTTCTTCATGTTCCTGTTCAGTCGTGGCCCCTTGATTCTGGAATGTCCTCTCCACTGTTTTTATTCTATTTATTTATTTAAACGTGTGTATCTCACCGTTCCCCACAGCTCAAGACTGCTTGCAACCCATAACTAAAACATTAAATAACAATAAAACCCCAGTTCCCCATAAACACCTGCAACTCACACCCCATTAAGATCTCTGGTGAATAAAATAGCTGGAGAGCCAGTTTGGTGTAGTGGTTAGGTGTGCAGACTCTCATCTGGGAGAACCGGGTTTGATTCCCCCACTCCTCCACTTGCACCTGCTGGATGACCTTGGGCAAGCCATAGTTCTGTCAGAGCTGTCCTTGAAAAAGAGCAGTTTGTGTCAGAGCTCTCTCAGCCCCACCTCCCTCACAGGGTGTCTGTTGTGGGGAGGGGAAGGGAAAGGAGTTTGTAAGCTGCTCTGAGACTCCAAGTGAAGGGCGGGGTATAAATCCAATCTCTTCTTCTTCTTCTGTACAGTGCCTCCTAAAGGTTTCTGGACTAGTGAAGGAGCTGACTTGCAAGCCCTGTTTCCTCAGGACCCTGGAGGTCAGAAAAGCCCCGTGGCCCTCCCACGTTTCCACCTGGCAATGCCACCCCTTCCCCATATTCCTTGTACTGTAACCTCAGTCACCAACAAATCTGCAAGAGTATCCCCTACGAGACAGATTTGTACATATAGCGTTCTGTATCTGCGTTGCCATTCAAAGGCTCTGCCTAGCTGCTACGTTTGGTGTAGTGGTGAAGTGTGTGGACTCTAATCTGGGAGAACCGGGTTTGATTCCCCACTCCTCCACTTGCACCTGCTGATGTGACCTTGGGTCAGTCACAAGCTCTGGCACAGCTGTCCTTGAAAAAGAGCAGTTTGTGTCAGAGTTCTCTCAGCCCCACCCACCTCACAGGGTGTCTGTTGTGGGGAGGGGAAGGGAAAGGAGTTTGTAAGCCGCTCTGAGACATCTTTGGGTTGTGAAGGGCGGGGTATAAATCCAATCTCTTCTCTTCTTCTCCTACGTTCATACTAGCGATCGCAGGGATGATCTATCACAGTTTTGAGCTATCGTGCTCGAGGGATATAAAGTTCAACCGTTCCTCCCCTTTACTGCTCTTTGGAAAGCAAGACCAAATATGAACATGAGAGAAGCCAATGTTGGATCAGGCCAGTGGCCCATCCAGTCCAACATTCTGTGTCACACAGTGGCCAAAAAGACCAGGGGCCATCAGGAGGTCCAGCAGTGGGACCAGGACACCAGGAGCCCCCCCACTATTGACCCCCCCCAAGCACCAAGAAGACAGAGCATCACCTGCCCCAGACTGAGAGTTCTTATCTATTCCTTGTGGCTAAGAGCCACTGATGGACCTCTGCTCAATAGAAGAACATAAGAGAAGCCAATGTTGGATCAGGCCAGTGGCCCATCCAGTCCAACACTCTGTGTCACACAGTGGCCAGAAATACCAGGGGCCATCAGGAGGTCCAGCAGTGGGGCCAGGACACTAGAAGCCCTCCCACTGTTGCCCCTTCCCCCCAAGCACCAGGAATACAGAGCATCCCTTGCCTCAGACTGAGAGTTCATATCTATACTTTGTGACTAATAGCCACTGATGGACCTCTGCTCATCCATATGCTTACCTAATTCCCTCTTGAAGCCGTCCATGCTTGTAGCTGCCACCACCTCCTGTGGCAGTGAATTCCATGTGTTCATCACTCTTTGGGTGAAGGACTTCCTTTTATCTGTTCTAACCTGACCACTCAGCAATTTCATGGAGTACCCACAAATTCTTGTATTGTGAGAAAGGAAGAAAAGCACTTCTTTCTCCACCTGCTCTATCTCATGCATAGGCTTGGTGTGTTTACAGAGATCAAGCTTCAAGCATTCCAAATATTTAAAAAGTTTAGCAAACAAAAATAAAAAGAGTACACATAGTTTTTTTCAAGCATTGGGGTGAGCAAGGATAAAAAATAACAGTGAAAACATGGACTCCTCTTACCTTACACTCTATACTTAATCCTAAACCATGGTTAATGGGGATAGGCTAGTAGTTCTTGACCTTGCAACATTTAAAAGTCCCTCATTACCTAAGGTCTCAGTGTTGGCTTTTCCCATTGTCCCTTGACACAAGGTCATGATGGAGGAGCTCCTAGCTCAAGACTTAGTCCTGCATGTCTTGTGACTATCCAAGAGATCAGAGCCTCAAGAATGTTCTTCCTCATGTCCTGAAAATCTATAATCTCCCCTTGGGAGTCTGTCCCCATCCAGAGTCAGTCCTAATCTTCCTGCCTCAAGACAAATAAATTACTTCCTAGCCATTTGGCTGTCACAGTCTCTGTCCCTTTAGGTGTAACATTCCAGCAAGATGTTAAAACTTTTGTTCTTATTTCTGCCAAAGCCATTTGCATAAGTGAGCTCTGGGGTGCTCTTTGCTTGGGAGCAAGATGATTCCTGTTGTGGGTTTCCTTTTGCCAGTAATTTTACCAGCACTGCAGCATCTGGAGCATGTGTAGAGTGCAGCCCAATGAATAAAACACCAAGGTGGATTCTAGGGTGGACGGCATTTCTCCACAGAGCTATTTGCCTAATGGCAGGCTTTTGACTGTTCAGTATCAGTTGACGTTTCATCTTACCCAGGGCGTTTCTTGCTTCGTCTCATTCCCCGGTCTGAAGTCTGAACTGTTATATTGCCTCGGTTTCTCTTGGCCTAGGTTCTGCATCAGCTTTTCTATTACTTTTGCTTGTGTTGGTTTGAGAGCCAGTTTGGTGTAGTGGTTAAGTGCGCGGACTCTAATCTGGGAGAACTGGGTTTGATTCCCCACTCCTCCACTTGCACCTACTGGATGACCTTGGGCAAGCCATAGTTCTCTCAGAGCTGTCCTTGAAAAAGAGCAGTTTCTGTAAGAGCGCTTTCAGCCCCACCCACCTCACAGGGTGTCTGTTGTGGGGAGGGGAAGGGAAAGGAGTTTGTAAACCGCTCTGAGACTCCCTTGGGTAGTGAAGGGCGGGGGATAAATCCAATCTCCTCCTCCTCCTCTTCTACTTCTGCTGAAGCAGATCAAATAAATATTTGTGCAGCTTTTGTGTTATGCTGCAAAAATATTTTTTATGCTGTCGGGGCAGTTAGCTCTGTGTTTATTGGGGAGAGTTCGAGTCTGGTTATTTATTAGTTTGTGGTCATTTTACTGTTAGCTGCCTTGGAAACCAATCAACTGAGTGTGCAGGCCACAAGTCATCTAATGAGTGTTTTAAAATAATGTTCTACGCCCTGGGCACTGTGGTTGATTTGTGTGTGTGTGTTCTTGAGCTATGCCCCCCTCAACCCATCTGTGGCACTTTCCCTTTTGCAGAAGAGCTGGACAAACTCATCACCGACAGGCCCGATAACTGTAGGAGGCTAAACAAACCGGCAGAGGCGGAAGCCGCCACGCTGAGCCACGCGGCAGCTGCCCAAGGCCGGATTGGGCAGCTGCAGACCCAGCCAGTCATGACGCTGTCGCTGCAGGCCGTCCCCCTTCACCACCAAATCCAGACGCAGGCGTGCATGACTCCTGATTCGCCAGCTCCTGCGCAGACCCCGCCTCTCCACACCCTGCGCAACATCAACCAGAGCCCCCTGCCTCAGCACCTGGTGAGCCGTGCACCAGATTTCCTCAGTATGGCGACTGACATGAGCACAGAAGTAGATGCGCTAGACCCCAGCATCATGGACTTCGCACTTCATGGTAAGAGTGGGAAGCCGCCACGACACACACCTTGGAGCTCAGGCAGCACGCCAAATGGAGAGGCCTGGATGGGGGCTGTAACAGCCCCGTAGCTACGGTGGGGGTTTTGGGGGGCTCTACCCCCTTCCTTAAAGGCACAGCCCCACAAGAATTTTTCCTGCAAATGCTTTTTTCAACCACATTTTAAAAAATTTGTAAAGCGTGCACTCCTTTAAGCAGAGTGGGGTGCGGTAGTTGACTCATTCTCGCACTGAGCAAGGGGGTTGGAGTAGGTGACCTCTAGGATCCCTTCTAACTCTGAGTCAAGAAACTGGTCTCCTTTGAGAGAGCTTTTCTGCCTGTCAGCTTTCTTGGCTATAGAAGTCATCACCCCCCACCTGCCGGCTTGTTCTCAGAATTGTTGCTTAGGCTGGCAGAAGTGATTAACTTGCAGCAGCTGAGAACTGTCATCTAAAGTGGTTGATAGCTTGCAATTTCGAGATCTATCCTGGTAACAGCTTTCTGTTGGCTAAATGGCTTTTCTTTCTGCACTGAGGACTTCAGGCCCACCAGACGAAAATTTGCCCCACAAGCCACGAGATCATGGCAATGAGCCTAGGCTATAAGGACACATCTACATACAGCTTTTATTTAGTCAGACATTTTACCTGGGGATTCCTCAGGGCTCCGTCATTTCTGGCTTGTGAGCTTCTTTGGGACCTCAGCCTAGCTGGCCTCAGTACCGGGCTCAGTGGGTTGTCGGTCTGGTTTAGGGCAGCTGCTTTTGTAGTGGTGCAACTGGTCCAGCCGGCTTTCCCCTGGTAAAACAAATAGTGCAAATACAATTGTGTGTATTGGATCAGACTTGCATTCACTGGAAATAACTTTGATCATAGCTAGGTTTGACTCCAGTAGGGCGATCAACCAGATTTGCAGGATAGAAGAATTTGAGAGTCAGACCCCTTCATCAGATCTGCTTATAGCCGCCCCCCCCCCCCCCCCCCCCTTTAAAAACATTCGAGGCTCCTGGAGGGAGAGGCTGTTTCAAGCTTCATGTGCCGGGGTGCTTTGAAAATAAACAAGGATAGATGGAGAGGAAGGCTGAAATCTTTTGCCCCACTGGATAAGGATTCGGCCTGTACCAACTAACCGGCATATCTTTTGTTTCACTTGGTGCGGCTAGCTATTAAAGGTTAGGATCAGTGTTCCCTCTAAGCTGAGTCAGTGTGAGCTAGCTCGCAGGTTTTTAGCCCCCGGCTCGCACATTTTTTAGTCTTCGCTCAGGCAGGATGGCTCCAGAGCAAACTAGTTTATGCAGCAGCCAGATCGCTCGTTCACAACTTTAATGCCTGTCGCTCACAAAGTAGAATTTTTGCTCACAGGACTCCACTGCTTAGAGGGAGCATTGGTTCAGATGTGCTCAAACCAGGTTATTGTTTTAAAGGTAACATCTGGGACGAGATGAAGGACGAGAGCTTCAGCCTGGAGACCTTGGGTGCCTTCAGCAACTCCCCTCTCACGCTCACAGACTGTGACTTTCTCCCGTCCGGACTGACTCCAGTTTCCGGCAGCGGCAGCAGCGACCGCCCCTTCGCAGACTTGCAAGTGACAGGTCTCTACACAACCTATACAACGCTGGACACGGTCTCCTCGGCCCAGTACATCAGCACCCAAGGGAACAAGCCAATTGCCCTGCTCTGAAAAGGGACCCGTCCAGATACAGACAAGTCTGTGCTGCCACCACTTGGCTTCCAACAAGTTCTTCTTTTGGGCAAGTTATTTAAAAAGAGGCACTCCCCACCTGGCTCCAACAAGAACGTGTGAATGTTCCTAGCCGTGAAGCAATTGGTAGAACCCCTTGCCCGTAGATTTCCGAGGTGTACTTAAAAATAGTCCTAAAAACTTGATGGAAGAGGACAACCCTTGGCATGTAGCCCATGTTAAGCTTTGTCAAAAATGATTCTGCGTCACTGGCCCTTCTGCCGGAGGCCAGAAGCAACTCCTTCTTACGCTTTGGTCTCCCCCACCCGCTCCTTTACACAAACGGACAGATCAAATGTTGGGTTGCTGTGTTTCCTTCTGTCCGAGGGGACACTTGTGCACACCACGGGGATTCCTGCTGCACACAAACGAACATTTCACAACTCACAGAAGAGAACCGGGCGATCTGTGCCCACCCTCAACTATGCAAGAGCAACAGAGCTCCTGCCTTTGCACTGGATCGGGGCAACCGACTGGTTTTTAACGTGTAACATAAACTGTACTCTGAACGCTGTGACCTTTAATTTATTGTTTGATGCTGGAAAAGGACAGAGCTGTCTCCGAAATCAAAGGACTAAAAGCCTGCAGAGGAGAAAATCTGACTCGGCACGTGAAATTCCACCCCTGCCTCCCCAAGCGCCCCTGCTGCAACCTTGGTCATCCACGCCGCTTCGAGGCAAGGAGGTCATCCAGCTACAGTGACGTCACAGTCTGGGCTCTTGACCCAGTAAATCTGGACCTCTTGGTTCCCTTCCTGCGCCGAGGCCCCAAGTGCAGCTTCGAAATAATCCACCCCGGTCCCCCAACTCTACCATACAACATCTCAGGTTCCGCTTCTCAGGCTGCTGTGCTGACCCCACCCGTTTCCTGCCGTCACTTAAGTCTCCTGACCAGCCTCCTCAAGTATTCCTGCATCCTTTCTTCCCAGAGCACCACGTCCTTCTAGATCTTAACCACTGTGAAATTTCCCCACAGGCCTCTCCAGTTAGTCTTTGCTCTCCTCCGTTCCCCGTCTCCTCTGATTACAGACTCTTCCTTTGAGCGTCTTCAGCCTCTGGGCCCCTCCTTCTGGGCTTTCTAAGACATCTGCCTGGCCACCACAGGAAGGAGAAGAAGAAGAGGAGAAGCGATTGGATGTATACCCTGCCCTTCCCTCAGAGTGGCTTACAAACTCCTTTCCCTTCCCCAACCCACAACAGACACCCTGGGAGGGAGGTGGGGCTGAGAGAGCTCTGACAGAAATTTTTCAAGGACAGCTCTGACAGAACTGTGGCTTGCCCAAAGTTATCCAGCAGCTGCATGTGGAGGAGTGGGGAATCAAACATCAGAACGTATGAGAAGCCAATGTTGGATCGGGCCAATGGCCCATCCATTCCAACACTCTGTCACTCAGTGGCCATAAATACCAGGGGCCATCAGGAGGTCCAGCAGTGGGACCAGAACCACAGAAGCCCTCCCACTGTTGCCCCCCCCCCAAGCACCAAGAAGACAGAGCATCCCTTGCCCCAGACTGAGAGTTCCTGCCTATACCTTGTGGCGAATAGCCATTGATGGACCTCTGCTCCATATAAGAACATAAGAGAAGCCAGTGTTAGATCAGGCCAGTGGCCCATGCAGTCCAACACTCTGTGTCACACAGTGGCCAAAAAGACCAGGGGCCATCAGGAGGTCCAGCAGTGGGGCCAGGACACTAGGAGCTCTCCCACTGTTGCCCCCCCCCCAAGCACCAAGAAGACAGAGCATCACCTGCCCCAGACTGAGAGTTCCTGCCTATACCTTGTGGCTAATAGCTATTGATGGACCTCTGCTCCATATAAGAACATAAGAGAAGCCAGTGTTAGATCAGGCCAATGGCCCATGCAGTCCAACACTCTGTCACACAGTGGCCAAAAAGACCAGGGGCCATCAGGAGGACCAGCAGTGGGGCCAGAACACTAGAAGCTCTCCCACTGTCCCCCCCCCCCCAAGCACCAAGAAGACAGAGCATCCCTTGCCCCCGACTGAAAGTTCCTGCCTATACCTTGTGGCTAATAGCTATAATGGACCTCTGCTCCATATAAGAACATAAGAGAAGCCAATGTTGGGTCAGGCCAATGGCCTATCCAGTACAACACTCTGTGTCACACAGGGGCCAAAAATACCAGGTGCCACCAGGAGGTCCAACAGTGGGGCCAGGACACTAGAGGCCCTCCCACTGTTGCCCCCCCCCCCAAAGCACCAAGAATACAGAGCATCCCTTGCCCCAGATCGAGAGTTCCTATCTCTACCTTGTGGCTAATAGCCACTGATGGGACTTCTGCTCCAAATGTTTATCCAGATCCCTCTTGAAGCCGTCCATGCTTGTAGCCGCTGCCACCTCCTGCGGCAGTGAATTCCGTGTGTTCATCACTCTTTGGGTGAAGAAGATCACTAATCTGATCCAGCAGAGCTGCTCCTGGATTGTTCTTTCTCAGTCTGCACCCCTCCTTAATCTACACTGCTTTGGTGCTCCCTGCCCCATATCGTCTTGGACCTCTTCTGTCCTCAGCCAGGCTTTAAAGCCAGCCAAATCGACAATTTTCTCTTCCCTCATAGAAACTGGACTGCAGCCCAAACATTCCAAACCTTCAACCCCAGCTCAGCCAATCAACATCAGACGTTTCCTCACTAACCAATGCCAACGAAGGAGGAGGACGTTGTGTCCCATGAAAAATACTGTACTACACAAAAAACTTTGCCACTTGATAGTGTTAGGGTTAACTAACTTATCTTATTAGCTTTTTTAAACCAAGGAAAAAGAGAAGGTTTAGGATTGCCAATCTAGGCTCAAGTATAGCGTTTCTTAATTCTTATACTAGGCAGTATTACTGTTTGTAAATCTTATTTATATTTATTTTTATGAAGACAAAAAGGAATGGTGTACTCAGCACTGACTTTTTAAAATCTTGCAGTAACCTCTTTTGCATTAATTTAACTATTCAGAACCACAGCAAAATACTACAGATTGTTTTTACACTTTGGATCACGTTCATTTAGGTGAACTTTAAAAGAGCACTTTGGATACTTAGAAACAGCATTTTGTGTATGAGACCAAATATTGTTTTACATGTTGAACTGACAGGTCTTTTTTTTACAACTGACACAAAAATACTATTTTTTTAAATTTACAGCAATAACAATAAAATTAACCACTGCAATAGGAGGGTAGTCTATCAACTGACGGTATGCATGTCCAAAGTAACACTTCAGCCGCCGCCGCCACAATGTTTGCAGCATTTTACTTAGCACTGTGATTGGACAGAGTTTTTGTATTTGCCCATAATGGTACCTGCTTGCATCTGAAAAAAGGTATTTAATATGCTGTCGAAGGCTTCCACGGCCGGAGATCATTAGTCGCTGTAGATTTTCCGGGTTGTCTGGCCATGATCTTGGCATTGTAGGACCTGACGTTTCGCCAGTAACTGTGACTGGCATCCTCAGAGGTATAACACAGAAAGATGGAGCACTCTCCGTGTCAAGGTGAGGGCAATGCAGAGAGTACTCCATCTTTCTGTATTATACCGCTGAGGATGCCAGTCACAGTTACTGGCGAAACGTCAGGTCCTACAGTGCCAAGACCACAGCCACACAACCCGGGAAAATCTACAGCAACTAATAAAACGGTATTTGTTTGGCATTATAATGAATATGGAGAGGGAAAAGAATTCTCCCCTCCAGGGCTCACTTACACAATCAATCAAAAGTCAGGGGCAGTGACAGTCAATTACGGTGCATTGGGACAGCGAACCCTGTCAGTGCCAAATCCTAATTCCATGCCTTTTGCTAAGGAAGAAATACCAGTTCTGTTACTGTTTCCGTGATGAATTGCCTCTTTGCGCCCAGGGGAAGGGGGGGGGGATCCCTGGTCTTTCTAGTGGTGGTTGATAGCTTTTCAGTTACCGCTGAACAAGTGGATCTTACGCAGGGGTCGTTTCGTTAAAAAAGAGGCACAGGAGATAATTTGCATAACTGATTAGCATAACTCGTTTGCATATGCCACACCCCTTTACAAAGGGCAAACATGCCTGGGGTCCCTGCCTGATCTTCTCCAGGTGCCCCGCGACTGCGGGGCACCTGGAGAAGATCGAGCAGGGACCCCAGGCATGCTCAAAAGGCCTTTCTTTCCCTTCCCCAGATGCCTGAGTTCCCTACTCCTGGGCTTGTTACCCCCGGAACGCCGTACCTGCTCGTTCCCTCTCAAAATGACCCCTGACGTATGTATATTTACTCAGAAGTTAGCCCATCCTGAGTTCAGTGGGACTTAAACTTTCATACGGGCTATTTAAATCCACTTTGGCTTCTGAAGGCAATTGGATTTTTTAAAAAAAGATTTCACACACGTTAAAGGGAACCTGAAACAACACACCAGAGCAGAAGAGCTTTTTGGAAAACCCGGATCAAGGGGTTATGAACTGTGGGAGGAGAGCGTTTTATCCTGAAAGTGTGTGAAACCATAAAAAAAAATGTTTGCCTCCAGATGCCAAAGCAGGTTAAAGAGCTCATGTGAAGTGGCACGAATGGTGCATAAGAGCACACGCTGAATCGAACGGGCAAAAAACAGCAGTTGCAGTGAGTTCCCGGCCACACCATGTATGCCTAAATAAAGTCAATTGGCCGCCCGTTTGGCACCATATCCATACCGAGTAGTAGCAAAAGACCGGCTGTGAGAAACCGACATCTCCTAGAAAGCCAACGCTGGAAGAGGCCCATTGATATAAGAAATACGTCAGCCCAGAACAGGCACAGTGGTCAGCATCAAGAAGTGTTCGGTTTAACAAAGTCGCGCTTAGAAGATGTGACATCGGTTCTGATTGTAGTGATGTATCTCGTCACCCGAGGAATTTGTGACTGTTGGCCTTCTTTGATGACAATAAAAGACATTAATTGACGATGGGTCAATTCTAGACCATTGCAGAGCGTGC